GCATATTTCTATGAGGACCAAAATGTTCCAATTCATCTATGATATGTACATGTATTGTCAATGTGGCAACTATAAAACAGCAGTTTCAGAAAAGTTAAACCCCATATTCAAAATATTAACGAACATAAAATATATTTATCTGAACAACATCCAGGTTGCACCCAGTCTTACCTACAGTATGGAGACAAACTGTGACACTCATTTCAATTTTTCAGAACTCTATTGTTTTCGACGAACTCAATATAACAAGCCATATGGAGTTCTTCAGTTTCACTTTTAGATATATTGGTGACGTCTCGTCTTTGAATAAAACATATTTGTTGTTTATGTTTATCGTATATCAACCCACCTGACATAAGTTTCTTATCTTACGACCAAACCAACAGGGACAGCTTTCCATCATGCTGTAGGATAAGCGTGATGGTTTGCTAATGTGAATTTTCAATTTCCCGGAAAAAAAAACCAACATTCCAATCTTAAACAGTTTACAGGTCGCGGCTGTTAAGACATTCAAGGACACGTTCTAGACATCACGAATTCCATGCCATATATCGACAATTGACAGACAAACTCACGAAACAGTAGTTCGAAAGAAATAGATTGATGAAAAATATGGAGAAGTTTTCGGTCGTCATTATGATCTCGTTGGAGAGTATAACTTTATCTCCTTGTGTGATATGCTATAAGCAGTGTTTGATACTTGTAGTATCTGAAAGCGACACGCTACTTACATATAGCAGGACTGACAAAGATATACATGGCGGGCGTTTTCGACCAAGCAGAAGTAGCTTACCCTTTCGGAACACTAGTTCTCTTGTACGTCTTCATGGTTATCAGTGCAAATGTTTCGTTCGTTTGTATTTCGCACATTTTCATTGTCGAATTCTAATCTATATATATATATATAATGTACAATGCATATACAAATTTGCTTTGATTCATTTTGGTGTTTGAATAAATAGAGTAGATACCAACAAACATAGCAGGAATTAAAATGCTGTTCACTCGTCAATGAATGTGTACGGCAACCACATTCCATGTATCAAAATATATCTCGATGTGTTAGCGTGCAGTATAAAAGATCGACAACACTGATTTATTGTGTGGAAATGTCATTTTAAAAAACACATTTGGGTGACGTGTTAAGTATGATATTGGATCATATTTCAATTTTTGATAGACAAAACCTACCTGGTGTTGATTGGATTTTATCCACTAAACCATAAAACTTTTCAGAACACAGAGCATCGAGAAATGTGGCGTATGCGTCTGTATTCGGAGAAGACATGAGAACTTTAATGAACTCATTGACTTGTTTATGATGAGTACCAGACTGTTCTATCTGGTCTCGATGTTCCAATTTAAACACTTCCTTCTCGATCAGTTTATCAATCACGGGATCCAAGTCCGATAAATGTTCCTTCAAATTTGATAGATTTTGACTAATTCTCTTTTTTTCTTCTAAATTCATTTTCACTTTCATCAAGATGTGTTGTTACTGATGATTCATCACAGGCGGTTTTTCTCATAGTAACAAAATACGTATTTAGCTCATTGTCAAAGAACAAAATTCATCCGGATGTATTCCATAGTAATTACATTTGTATTTTGATAATATACAAACGTGCTTCATTTTTGTCTTCTCTTCATGATGCATCTCTGTGGTAACGAATTGGTCCGTGGAATGTATTTCACAGCGGACACACATGTGTCTGGTATAAACACACGTGTTTCAATCTTAATTAACTGCAGGTACACCAGGAAGAAAAGTGTTTCTATAACTATATTCTTGGTACTGCGTTTTATTTCTGCCAAATATTACAATGGGCATGTGTTCGTAACAAAATATGATATTCTGGATTTGATAGTTCTATAAAGTAAATGAATCAATATATTTGGCCAACAAACAAGTATATTTTGTACAGCTCCATGCGTACAGCTACAAAGACACCGTCTTTCAGAAACTGTTAACCTGAAACAATGAACAGTCAGTTCTCCGGTCGAAACTGCGTCACGATCAGAAATATTGATAAAGACTTTCATACATTTAACATCTCACAGCTCAGTGTGGGGTAAAACATAGACAAAGCTATACATATGTAGGTATGTTCACTTATGTTTAGATCCGTGAGACATTCTGCCTATACTTACCTGAGTATGGAAGCTGACTGTTCCCGAGTGGTGGTATTTTTAGTCGACTAATGATAGTTTATTATGTTATACAAACCTATTTATATAGATCCATAAGAGGTAAGCTGACAATACTTGACCAGCGGTACGGCTTGGGGACTAATGCTAGTTTATCATGTTACACAGGCATATTTATATAGATCCATAAGAGGTAAGCTGACAATACTTGACCAGTGATACAGCTTGGGGACTAAAGCTATAAAGCTAGTTTATCATGTTACACAGGCATATTTATAGAGATCCAGAAAAGGTAAGCTGACCAGTGGTACGGCTGTGGGACTAATGCTAATTTGTCACGTCATCCGGCACAAGGTAGGAAGATGAGTTGTGGAGGGGCGGAGGCTAAGAGAGTTGGGTATGAACGGTAGCTAGTTCTAAAGGATCGATAATAAACTGGAACTTTGAATTTCGAACAAACAAATGTTGTGATTTATAACTATCTTATCTAATCATTTTACAATAAATAATTATCTAAACAAACTATAACTATCTGATGATTGATAATTATCTTAAAAAGCTATCTTATGATTGATAATTATCTTAAAAAGCTATCTTATGATTGATAATTATCTTAAAAAACTATCTTATGATTGATAATTATCTAGCAAATTATCTTATGATTGATAATTATCCAAACAAACTATATTAAAACTAATGATATAAATAAAAAAGCTCGTTAGACCGAATGCTTCCAACAAATGATGATATATTCATATTTATACTTACCGTAAATACTTAAATGAAAATTCCAATACTGAATTAATTAAGACTTAGTAATTAGAAAGTTAGTGACATCGACCTGATTTTGGAGAACAGGGAAATCTGGGTAACGAAATCAAAATATGTTTTAGCTTTGTACAGTAACTTAATGTGGTCCATTGTTTCTCTTTCATGATTGTATGCCTTGCTGAATTTTGTTTTCAAAAATTGTGATATTTTTTTTAATATTCGGTCCTAATAAAAGTGGGTGGTCGGGTGGCGCAGTGTTAATGCACTCGCCTTTCACCTAGCCGACCGGGGTTTGATTCCCGGAACGGACGTGAAAAGGTAAGGGGTCACCTGCCCGACCACGTGGGTTTTCCCCGGGTACTCCGGTTTCCTCCCACAATAAGACCCCTCGCGCGCTTACATCCGGGCCAACAAGAGTGATTAGTATAAGTTGACATAACTTGTTTCGCAATTGTTGTAAAATAAATAAAGTTTATATTAATAAAAGTCCTTCTGTGTAAATGATTCGTGTTTACATATTGTATATGACAAAAATAACATTTCTTCTTGAAACAAAATCACTTGTAAGTTGTTACAGGAACTTTCAGCGATGTTCGGGTTATTTATTATTGTGTTTCCTACAATTACGAGAAGTCACAATATAAAACAGATGTGTGGAGTGTCAGTAGAGTAGATTAACAGAAAGCAAGGGACATTTGTGAAGTGGTTAAGTCATTAAGTCAAATGTTTGGAAAGGATTCAAGATTTTAGAAAATGAAGTGTTTATCATGTAACTGTATCTGCTGCACCGTCCAAACCCCAACTAGTCCGGCGGGACTTGTATAAGGACTGTCCATCTTCGCACGATAAAGACTTTTGTGGATTTTCGAAGAAAAGTATTCGTGACAACGCCGATGCTGAGGTTTAGGAAATAAGGCTAAGATAAATACATCCTTTGTTAGGGGCATCCGATGGTAATTAAGTACCACTCAGTCAAAATAACATAGACCCCATCCAACCCGACAGCAGCACGGCAGTATTAAAATTTCTCATTTCGGACACCCAGACAGACGAGAGATGTTCTCTTATAGGGAACACTAAAACCCGTGATAAATAGAAATGTTGAAGTGAAAGATGTAACATGTGTAGGAGTGTAAGACATGGTTATGAATATTTCACAATGTCCATTGCTATACCGTACAGTAACATAATACAACATAGAGCCATACCATTTGAAAACAATATGTTGTCCCATCAGAGGATGAATTTCACATCTAGTTAATTATCTTCTTAAGAAACTAACTCAGAATGAATAATCTTGTTCTTTACAAACTTTTTTATAACTAATAAATCAAAATGTAATTATATTTTAATGGATAATTTCTTAAAGCAGTGTCGCAGAAAGCTAACAAGACTTTCAGAAACGATGTCCGCCATCCGCCCGTGAATCAGACAGTCGAAAGACACCTGATTTACTGTAAAATTCTAATAACTAGATCTGTTTAAATAAAACTTATATAGAAACAATATCATATAAACTGAATATACGAGGGATGTAAACTCGCAACATTTTAGATAGAATTTGCCTCGGTGTAATTTATGATGAAAAATCCAACACAGTCTAAAATGAGGACGTCATTCTTTCTTGACAATTGAACCTTTGTTTAAAATTTTTAATTTCGTAACATAGTAACATGTACATATACTGACACGATTATGATGTATAACCTTATAATACTACACGATATCTGAAAGACTCGTTCAACGGTTTCCACGTCAACTATCAACATCCGGTCATACATCCGGGTTATTTTTACTCCCTTGCCTCGCTTGCTTAAAGATTCCTTGACAGCTTTTAAAAGAAATAAATAGTATTTACAGTTAAAGAAACTCACAGCTGTTCATGAAAAACAAGTCAGCATACACAAAGATGATTTAATATATCAAATTACAAATATTTAGGGCTGAAATATAAGGGGCTCGTTCTTTTTACAAGCCAGAAGAAAGATGACAATGCGTTTGAGCAGAAACGTGTATGGAGACACTGGGGCTAATAACATGCACAGAGATATACATTAATAGTCACAGGACAGATGTGATGATTTGATACTCATCTTTACGGAAGAAAAGACATGCCTGGTATGTATCACATATTATATTGTGAATAAGAAACATTGAAAGCTAGGCAATAACCGTTTGAGAAAAGAAACGTCCATTTTTCGTATGCAAGACTTGTTTTAATATCTGTCAATATTTAAGCAGGGTTTAAACTATATTTTACTGAATGTTTGTATTTTGTATCCGTGGGTATGTTTGCAGTCTGTGGTAAATGCCATTTAAGTTATAGTATATCTACATTACCTATATCATTATAGTTTCTTTTTTCCTTTTTCTTATTGAAACACGGCTTGTTTGTTTATAGAACAATGACATGTCAAACGCTGCGGAATTCTGACCATCATACACTGTGTATATACTGTATAGTATCCATGTTGTTACATTCCGCTTCTTAAATGTTGCATTATTCTAACTGTAATCCAATCGCGTTTGTTAGGCGTATTATTGTGATCATGAACATTTTGTTTTTGAGTGTTTACATTGTGATATATTTTGTCTTTGCTTGCTGACGCTGTGATATATTTTGTCTTTGCTTGTTGACGCTGTGATACATTTTGTCTTTGCTTGTTGACGTTATGATACATTTTGTCTTTGCTTGCTGACGCTCTGATACATTTTGTCTTTGCTTGCTGACGCTGTGATACATTTCGTCTTTGCTTGTTGACGATGTGATACATTTTGTCTTTGCTTGTTGACGCTGTGATACATTTCGTCTTTGCTTGTTGACGCTGTGATACATTTCGTCTTTGCTTGTTGACGCTGTGATACATTTTGTCTTTGCTTGTTGACGCTGAGATACATTTTGTCTTTGCTTGCTGACGCTGTGATATATATTGTCTTTGCTTGTTGACGCTGTGATACATATTGTCTTTGCTTGTTGACGCTGTGATACATTTCGTCTTTGCTTGTTGACGCTGTGATACATTTCGTCTTTGCTTGTTGACGTTGTGATACATTTTGTCTTTGCTTGTTGACGTTGTGATACATTTCGTCTTTGCTTGTTGACGTTGTGATACATTTTGTCGTTGCTTGTTGACGTTGTGATACATTTTGTCTTTGCTTGTTGACGCTGTGATACATATTGTCTTTGCTTGTTGACGCTGTGGTGTATTTTGTCGTTGCTTGTTGACGCTGTAATACATATTGTCTTTGCTTGCTGACGCTGTGATATATATTGTCTTTGCTTGTTTACGCTGTGATACATATTGTCTTTGCTTGTTGACGCTGTGATACATTTCGTCTTTGCTTGTTGACGTTGTGATACATTTTGTCTTTGCTTGTTGACGTTGTGTTACATTTCGTCTTTGCTTGTTGACGTTGTGATACATTTTGTCTTTGCTTGTTGACGCTGTGGTGTATTTTGTCTTTGCTTGTTGACGCTGTGATACATATTGTCTTTGCTTGTTGACGCTGTGGTGTATTTTGTCGTTGCTTGTTGACGCTGTAATACATATTGTCTTTGCTTGTTGACGCTGTGATACATTTTGTCTTTGCTTGTTTACGCTGAGATATATTTGTCCTGACTTGTTGATTCTATGTTTATGTATTTTAATAGTTGTTTTTGCATGTTGTTGACAATGAATAGATATATTTCGTCCTTGTGTGTTAATGCTGCAGTGTATTTTGTCTCTATTTAATGTCGTTCTGTGAAGTTTATCCATATTAAGTATTTTCACCTTACATGTTGACAACATGTTGTGTGAAGTGAATTTTTTCTTTGTGTGTCCAAGTGAGTGTGTGGGTACCTGTGGGTGTTTTAACTATTTTCTTGTCATAAATGTAATGAGAATAGTCTATAAGATATCTACTATTTCAAATGTTTTACCCGCAGAGGGAATTCCCGACGAACTATGGACCAATTACGCAACATTCTTCTGGGACAACAGTACTGGTCTGTATGTTGGAGCAGCATTGTTTGGTCTGGGTATCTTGACTTTAGTCTTCACAGGAATAGTGTCTTTATGTAAAAGGTAGATAACTCATGTTTGTCTTTTTTCCCTTTTTTTTCTTCTTTTGTTTTTTGTTCTGACATTTGTATCAATATTTGTCACTAGTTGATAACAACGGGTTAGCGAACAACAAGAAATATCGTATGCCACTGTTAGCTAAAACTTCAAACAAGTGAGCAAAGACAATGATCTGTAACCAAGTCCCGCCTCTTAACTACCAACAACCTCGAATGGGTAGATAGATGGGATTAGGGGTGGGAGGGGGGATTGTTCTAAGGAATATTTATCTATTACCTCAACTAAAAAAAACTAAAAACTAACAAAACAATAAATTTCAAGAAAGTTTGTAAGTAAACTGAAGATTAATCTGATAGATATGTAATTCCGCTGACTTACACATCAATGATTTATGTACTGTATCGGTGTGTCTCTATGACTACATTTCCCAAATCAAAGCTTGATGTCTTTATATGAGTAGGAAGAAAAGAAAAAAAAATTGATGTTGCTGTTCGTCGCCAAATATTGCATTAAACACAATACTTGTCTTGGACCCAGTTTCTTTCCCAGGGATAGTCACCATCCACTTATTCACTATCATTTCCTATTCGATTTTAAAACACACTAAAGATTATGTGTACTCGCAATGAATGAATGTATGTATGATGATGCAGATTTAAGTGAGAAGATCACTTAATTAAAGTGTTTGGCTGTATATATATATATATATATCTGTCAATTAGTCCACACTAACGCACGAGTTTCAAATATCAGCTTGAAATATCTTAAATCAAAAAGATTATTGTAAACCTTATAAATTAACAAAAGTGTTGTCAAATCACGATGTCGTGTCTGTTGCTTCTGATGATAAACCCTTTTCGTCGAAATAAACCGAAGAAATATCAATGTATCATAGTGGATAAAAAAGCCCTTACGAATCTGAGAAGTTTTTATTTCACGGAAGAACCCGGAAGATAATGTTTTATCACAAAATTTCGTAAACGTTCGTGAAAACAACATTTATCAGACTGATAGTACAATATCGCTTCCAATAGTTTTTATGGGCGGTCGGGCGGCGCAGTCATAACACACTTGCCTTTCACCTTAGCACCTGAAGTTCGATTCTCGGCACGTGGAAAAGTAAGGGCTCATCTACCCGACCACGTGGATTTCCCCCGGGTACTCCGGTTTCTACCCACAGTAAGATCCATCGCACATTTCCATCCGGGCCAGCACGAGTTATTGATATAAGTTTATGGCTTGTTTTGCAATTGTTGTACAATGTGACACCATTGCGATTATGGCAGCATGTCGTCACAATGGAAACAAAAGGAACAGCAGGAGATATTACAAATCGATATCGAGTGTTGTTTCCGTCATTTTGCCGTGTATATATCATAACAAACCACGTGATTCCGTGCCTTGTTTTATACCTGTAAGCTTGGTGCTGAATACTGTTGGTCAGACAAGATTGGCTAATGTATAAGATGTGGGATGAATGAATGTGAAACATTTAACAATGCTTGTTATTAGTACGATAAAACAGTTATATTGATGATATCCACTTATCAGAATACAATGGTTTAAAAGTTTTTAAGTTTTAGAGCTCTATAGGGTACAAATATACAACGAACAATTAATAGTGATAATGATTAAATATAGCATCACACACAAGTTAACAACGTTCAATACAAGTTTAGAATGAAATGCAGACAAATTATGAATTAAACTTCATCATACAGCTGTTTCGTCCTTCTAGGAACTCGTCAGTTAGTGCGCTATATAACTGTACTCACATTAAATACCCTTTAATTGTATCTTTTTTAACAGGATTACCAGAGATCGATCAGGCGAGACCAACGTGCCCAACAAACCAAGAGCTTCAATAAACAATCCACTGTACCGCGCTGATCGTGAGGAGGGCACCTCGAGACAACAATTAGTCGGGGCCCAAGCCGATATTAATGACGATGAATCTCTAAACGAGGAAGTAAAGGAAGAAGCTACAGTAATATATGAAAACGAACAATTCTTCCAAGCCGCAAGGAGACCAAAGACAACAGATACTGAAGACACAGTTGAGACTGAAGACAGACGCAATCTCCAACCTAAATTTGCTTACTCACAGGTCATCAAAAAGAGCAACGAAAGAGCTAGGAAAAAGAAGGAAAATGCGGGTACATCCGGCAGTGATGAGAGAGGAAAAGATAGAAAGCGTGATGTGTATTCAAAAGTGATAAAGAAAACAGATCTGGAAACAGCAAAGAATAACTCTACATCAAAAGGCAACACAAATGACAATCCTGAGGTGCCTCAGAATGAATTCAACGAGACCAAGGCATCAAGAGAAGATAAAGCCGACGACAAAAGTAGTGTAAAAGATCAGGACATACATACAGATGACCCAGAAGTCAAAGATCATGACTCTGTGGTCACAGGTCATCGCCAGAGACTTAAAGATGGCGCTGAAGACGAGATAAAGGGACCACGAGACGAGAATGCTGATGATTACATAAATGTTACAGCTCCTAGGATTCCATCGTTTGGGGACGAAGTATACATGGACATGTCGCAAAAAGAATCACTAGATTATATCAACTGTACCAAAATCTCTAAACCAAAGTAGACAATTAGGTATAGCCACCAAAGTCTACATCTGTAACATAATCTCTAAACCAAAGTAGACAACTAGGTATAGCCACCAAAGTCTACATCTGTAACATAATCTCTAAACCAAAGTAGACAATTGGGTACAGCCACCAAAGTCTACATCTGTAACATAATCTCTAAACCAAAGTAGACAATTAGGTATAGCCACCAAAGTCTACATCTGTAACAGAATCTCTAAACCAAAGTAGACAATTGGGTACAGCCACCAAAGTCTACATCTGTAACATAATCTCTAAACCAAAGTAGACAACTAGGTATAGCCACCAAAGTATACATCTGTAACATAATCTCTAAACCAATGTAGACAACTAGGTACAGCCACCAAAGTATACATCTGTAACATAATCTCTAAACCAATGTAGACAACGAGGTATAACCACCAAAGTCTACATCTGTAACATGATCTCTAAACCAAAGTAGACATCTAGGTATAACCACCAAAGTCTACATCTGTAACATAATCTCTAAACCAAAGTAGACATCTAGGTATAACCACCAAATTCTACATCTGTAACATAATCTCTAAACCAAAGTAGACAACTAGGTATAACCACCAAAGTCTACATCTGTAACATAATCTCTAAACCAATGTAGACAACTAGGTATAACAAATAAGTCTACATCTGTAACATAATCTCTAAACCAATGTAGACAACTAGGTATAACCACCAAAGTCTACATCTGTAATATAATCTCTAAACCAAAGTAGACAACTGGGTATAGCCACCAAAGTCTACATCTGTAACATAATCTCTAAACCAAAGTAGACAACTAGGTATAGCCACCAAAGTATACATCTGTAACATAATCTCTAAACCAATGTAGACAACTAGGTATAACCACCAAAGTCTACATCTGTAACATAATCTCTAAACCAAAGTAGACAACTAGGTATAACCACCAAAGTCTACATCTGTAACATAATCTCTAAACCAATGTAGACAACTAGGTATAACAACCAAAGTCTACATCTGTAACATAATCTCTAAACCAATGTAGACAACTAGGTATAACCACCAAAGTCTTCATCTGTAACATAATCTCTAAACCAAAGTAGACAACTAGGTATAACCACCAAAGTCTACATCTGTAACATAATCTCTAAACCAAATTAGACAACTAGGTATAACCACCAAAGTATACATCTGTAACATAATCTCTAAACCAATGTAGACAACTAGGTATAACCACCAAAGTCTACATCTGTAACATAATCTCTAAACCAATGTAGACAATTAGGTATAGCCACCAAAGTCTACATCTGTAACATAATCTCTAAACCAATGTAGACAACTAGGTATAACCACCAAAGTCTACATCTGTAATATAATCTCTAAACCAAAGTAGACAACTAGGTATAACAACCAAAGTCTACATCTGTAACATAATCTCTAAACCAATGTAGACAACTAGGTATAACAACCAAAGTCTACATCTGTAACATAATCTCTAAACCAATGTAGACAATTAGGTATAGCCACCAAAGTCTACATCTGTAACATAATCTCTAAACCAAAGTAGACAACTAGGTATAACCACCAAAGTCTACATCTGCATGAACATACACATAGCGTCCTCAGACTGTGGCAGCATTTATTTCAATTAGAAATATTTTTATTTGTATGTGGAAAGTGGAAGAAAGCAGAAAAAGAAAAATAGAATCATATATGTACTCGATCCAAAACAAAAACAATTTTGACAAGGATAAGAGAGAACGATTGAAACATGATGTCATTTTTTCACGCTTTGTAGTAGTTAGCTTCATTGCTCGATACATAAATTAATGTGGTATATCAGTATTGAATTTTATATTGTAAAGCACGGTAAAAACATAACGTTTTTGTCTCGCTGTGAAACTCTCGGTATAGTGGGAAATGTTGTATTGTTCTCAAACTCTATGTATATAGGTTTCCAGAAAGCGTGTGATAGAGTCTGCAGTGCTAGGCTAGAAATGAAACTGTTTTATTGTAATTCAGAATGTATGCCTTTACAAGTAGAGTTAAACTCGTCAATACAGATTTGTTTCGAGCACATCTAGAAATGTGGAATCTTACATGTAGATTAAGTGTCATGATATTAAGTTATGAAATTACGTAAACACAAATGTAATCAACGCTTGTGTAAATGACAAATCACTTGAAATTAAAAAAGGTTTGACATCTCTGGATATTAAAATAAATTATAATGCAAACTTCGCAAAATAATGAAATACATTTATTGATCATGTTCGTCTTTTTCTTTAAAATGTATAGAACCTACTAGGCGGCTGACATACAAGTCAAAATCTGGATTTTTGAAGAATAGCCTATGTGTTGTGGCTTGTAAGAGCGAGTATTCGAAAATTTGAAACCACAATGAAACTGTATAATAATGAAAAGAATCTAGTCCTTCAACTTTGATGCTTGATGGAGAACTCCGAAAATGAAAATGTCGGAAAATAAAATCAATATAAAGACTTATAATGGTACTAATCGGTGATCAAAGTACACTTGTTAAGACAAATCACAAGACGCTGTAACATACTGCGTCACGATGTGTCTGGTTTTAGTCTGTTTTTATGTCAACCACCTTGACCAAATGTTCAGAGATCATGGGTAATACATGATTCTCGGATTTAAACCATTTGTTAACAGGATATTTCTATCTTATTTCAAATTCTGATTAAAGATTTAAAATTAATTTGATTGAACGGTCTACCTGCGGTATTTGAAATGCCACATAGAAAGTTAGAGAAGGCAAATTATTAAAACATAACATGTGTATCAATACTGAGAAAACAAAATCCATGTTGATTGGCACTTACCAACGTAAGAGCAGACAAAGTCGGCAATTAAATATTGTAATCAATGACACTGTGATTGAAAATGTAAAAACAGAAAAACTTCTCGGTGTCACTGTAGATGATTGTTTGTCTTGGAATACCCAAGTTAACAATGTGTACAAAAAACTGTCTTTTTACATTTTTCAAATGAAACGTTTGAGAATTTTCCTTAGCCAGTCTTCCTGTTTAACATACTTTAACTGTTTTGTAAATCCACACTTTAACTATTGTGTAAATATCTGGGGCAATACTTCACATAATGATATAGCCAAGCTAGAAAAACTCCAGAAAAGAGCTGCTAGGATTATCTTGAAGTGTGATTTCAATACTCCCTCCAGTGACATGTATTAGAAGCTGAACTGGTTACCTTTTACAGAGCGAGTGATGTACAACCAATCAGTTTTAATGTACAAGGTTTTACATGGTCTGGCTCCCCTGTATCTGTACAATTCTATATATACTTCTGATGTCCAGTCCAGATTTATTAGATCATCATCTAATAACATATTTTATCTACCTGCTTTTAAGACTGCATTGTATAAGAAATCTTTTACCTATCAGGGACCATATACCTGGAATATTTTACCAGATTCCGTGAGAAACGCATCATCACTTTTATCTTTTAAACAAAGTGCCAAAAAGTTTTTTTATGGACACCTCTTAATTTGCTGTGGATTCTTTAACTGATGCACCTTTTTCCTGTTTTCTTAAATGTTTCTCTGTTTTATGTACATTTTGTAATTATTGTACATTTTATGTATACTTGACCAGAAGGTAGACGAGTCTTTGACTCATTCTGTTATCAAGTATAAATAAAGACTATTATTATTATTATTATTATTATTAACATGCAACAAATGTCATTCCCTGTCTATTATTAAGTTTTATCTTCGAGTCCGTATGGTTTACTCTGGTTTGTAAATTTGACAATGGTTCGTAAGTTTGACTAAGGCTCGTAAGTTTGAGAATAGTTCATAACTTTGACTATGGTTTTTTAAGTTGCCTATGGTTTGTATGATGGACTAAGATTCGAAACATTGATTATTGTTCGTAAGTTTGAGTATGGTTCGTATATTGGATGTTTGACTGAGATATAAGTTATCAAGATGTCAAACCATTTCCAAGAGGCTAGAATTCTTGACAAGTCATCTATGGGAATATTTTGATTGTGTTTTCATGCTTCAAAATGTTGGACAAAAAATGGTTAAATTTATTCATTAAGATTTTTCACACTGACCATCTCCGAGATACTATGTGTTATTTTCTCGATGTTTAATTTTGAAACTTACTATTTCCGATAAAAAAGTTTACAAAGTTAGTATTGATATTCTATATATCAAAATCTATATTTTTACATTGTGTAGGTAGATCGTTTGCGCTACTTGATAATAAATCGAACTTGCGTCTCCGGCGTGATAAGTTCCTTACGATAATGGGGAAGCTGATTTATTGAAGGAATTTGATTGAGAGTTTCAACATTTTTATCGCCCTGACTTCTCTGTAAATCTGAATGAAATCAATTTCAAAATTCTTAACAAATTCAAAGAAAAACTCATTCCGACTAGAGGCAAAACAATATCCATGGCAACCATAGAAAACAAATATAATTATCTAAAATGCTATACATATGGTTCTAAAAATCCCTCAGTTCTAGGAGTTATCTCCCTTGATATCATAAACAAATTAGAATATCGGACAATTACTCTGTTTATACAGGTGAATTTATAGCTATAGGCTTATATTGTTTAGTGTAAAGATACGAAATCAAACCAAACAGACCAGCCGTGCTCTTAGAACGTCTTGTGGAACTATCATCTCACCGGAGTCTCGAGACCTGTCACTCTATAATAGATGAACAGTGTAGTAGGTGTATCACGGTAGAAACCCTCACTACTTCTTCTGTCCCGCCCTACCTAACTTACTCATTTCATTTCCTCTTCCAATCACTACCTAAATATCAAAATCGCTCTTTAACCTACTATTGGCAAAGAATAAACTTAGTTGTAAAATGACCGTTTCCTGTAACCCATTATTTGACGAAATCAATACCCCTATCCCATCCCTAAATCAAACTTCACACTTTATAAATCATCACTTCTAAAGGTATTGGGATGTGAAGAAGTTACATCAAGTCAGTGTCTATGTGGTTTTATAGAAAGAAATGATTTTGTTACTGAGAAAAGTTCACAAAGCAGCAGAGCGTTATTGAGTGAATACCTACGTACGTACTATCTACAACACCAGAACAGTCAACACGATCTCTATTCCATCCCTCTTCTCTCACTATCTACAACACCAGAACAGTCAAAACCGTCTTTATTCCACCATCCTTCTCTCACTATCTACAACACAGAACAGTCGACTTCATCTCTATTCCATCCCTCTTCTCTCACTATCTACAACACAGAACAGTCGACTTCATCTCTATTCCATCCCTCTTCTCTCACTATCTACAACACAGAACAGTCGACTTCATCTCTATTCCATCCCTCTTCTCCCACTATCTACAACACCAGAACAGTCGACTTCATCTCTATTCCATCCCTCTTCTCCCACAATCTACAACACCGGAACAGTCGACTTCATCTCTATTCCATCCCTCTTCTCCCACTATCTACAACACCAGAACAGTCGACTTCATCTCTATTCCATCCCTCTTCTCTCACTACCAACAACACCAGAACAGTCGACTTCATCTCTATTCCATCCCTCTTCTCTCACTATTTACAACACCAGAACAGTCAAAACGATCCTTATTCCACCATCCTTCTCCCACTATCTACAACACAGATCAGTCGACTTCATCTCTATTCCATCCCCCTTCTCCCACAATCTACAACACCAGAACAGTCAACACGATCTCTATTCCATCCCACTTCTCTCACTATCTACAACACCAGAACAGTCAAAACGATCTTTATTCCACCATCCTTCTCTCACTATCTACAACACAGATCAGTCGACTTCATCTCTATTCCATCCCTCTTCTCTCACTACCAACAACACCAGAACAGTCGACTCCATCTCTATCCCATCCCTCTTCTCCCACAATCTACAACACAGATCAGTCGACTTCATCTCTATTCCATCCCTCTTCTCCCACTATCTACAACACCAGAACAGTCGACTCCATCTCTATTCCATCCCTCTTCTCTATCTATCAACAACACAGAACAGTCAAAACGATCTTTATTCAACCATCCTTCTCTCGCTATCTACAACACAGAACAGTCAAAACGATCTTTATTCAACCATCCTTCTCTCACTATCTACAACACAGAACAGTCAAAACGATCTTTATTCAACCATCCTTCTCTCGCTATCTACAACACCAGAACAGTCGAATCCATCTCTATTCCATCCCTCTTCTCTCACTATCTACAACACAGAACAGTCGACTTCATCTCTATTCCATCCCTCTTCTCTCACTATCTACAACACCAGAACAGTCGACTCCATCTCTATTCCATCCCTCTTCTCTCACTATCTACAACACAAGAACAGTTGACTTCATCTCTATTCCATCCCTCTTTTCTCACTATCTACAACACAGATCTGTCGATTTCATCTCTATTCCATCCCTCTTCTCCCACTATCCACAACACCAGAACAGTCGACTCCATCTCTATTCCATCCCTCTTCTCTCACTATCTACAACACCAAAACAGTCGACTTCATCTCTATTCCATCCCTCTTCTCCCACTATCTACAACACCAGAACAGTCGACTTCATCTCTATTCCATCCCTCTTCTCCCACAATCTATAACACCGGAACAGTCGACTTCATCTCTATTCCATTCCTCTTCTCCCACTATTTACAACACCAGAACAGTCGACTCCATCTCTATTCCATCCCCCTTCTCCCACTATCAACAACACATAACAGTCAACTTCATCTCTATTCCATCCCTCTTCTCCCACAATCTACAACACCAGAACAGTCGACTTCATCTCTATTCCATCCCACTTCTCTTACTATCTACAACAGAACAGTCGACTCCATCTCTATTCCATCCCACTTCTCTCACTCTCTACAACACCAGAACAGTCGACTTCATCTCTATTCCATCCCTCTTCTCTCACTACCTACAACACAGAACAGTCGACTCCATCTCTATTCCATCCCACTTCTGCCACTATCTACAACACCAAAACAGTCGACTTCGTCTCAGAACTGGACTTGAAAATTGAAATGATATCTTGTTGAGATTTATACTTCTCGTATACTTTTGAATCACCGGCAAAGAATATACCTGATAAAATGCCAACATAGGGTATATTTTTTCACTACGGTGGACTCCAATGGGGTTCAGAATCATTTGCACTGACTCAAGGATTTCGTTGAATGATAGATAATAGATTTATTTTTGGAAAAGTCATTATGACATTCCGGAATATCCCTAAATCAGTTTTAAGTTGAGGCTAATTGGTTTATAAACTCCTAAAAGGATGTAACCAAAGTTGATTATTTTCAAAATAATTGTATTTCAAACCTCTATGAAAACCACATCTACAGAATTCAACTATTCGTTTTCATGATAAGTATTTCGGCCATCATAGAAAATGATTATCTCTTTCCGTGCGGATGCGTCTAGGTGTTTTTTATGGTTACGCTGGACTTAGATGTCAGAACAACAAACACCAAAAATATTTTCTGGACGTCACGGATTTGATTTGATTTTACTTTTTGAAAAAAAAATGTATTAACGGTTCGTCTACAATTAAAGTTCGAACAACTTATCCGTTCGAAAATTATTCCAAATAAAAACTAAGGGAATACTACACGAACGGAAACACTGGAGACGGTTTATTCACAAACTTTCAGTGAAAAGGGTCTTCATTTTCTTCATCTCAATGTCAGATCGTTATTTCACAAAATACCAGAACTGCAAATAATCGCAAATAACACGAGAGCTGCCGTAATATGTATTACTGAATCGTGGTTAGATAGTTCGATTACGAACACAGAAGTAGGAATTGAGGGATAAGAAAAGATAGAAATCGATCTGGGGGAGGGGTTTGTTGTTATGTACGAAAAGATTTAGCATTTACTCCTGTTATTTATGAAGACATCGAAGGGTCTGATGAAATGCTATTCATAGAACTATTACTTCCTAAAACTAAACCATTAATTATAGGGACATGTTATCGCCCTCCAACTCAAACAATATTTCCCGATAAATTAGGAAAAGTTTTATCTCAGTTAAGATCTGATTGTGACATTTTTATTTTAGGAGATTTTAATATATGTTTTAAAGAATCCAAAAATTCTTTATTTAAATCGTACAAAAATGTTATAAATATATACGGTTTAAAACAGCTCATAAAAGAAGCGACAAGAATAACCGAAAAAACCAAATCATTAATTGATCATATTTTGTGTAATGTTCCAGAAAAAGTCTTGTCAATCTGGAGTGATCCCTATTGGTTTAAGTGATCACTTCCTCACCTTTTGCACAAGAAAAATTAGAAAGTCTACTTTTCATGAACATAATAAGATAAAACTAAGATCAACTAAATGCTATGATAAAGATGCTTTCAAGCAATTACTAATTAATGCAAATTGGGAACATTTCTTTCACGCAAAAGATGTTAACTAATGTTGGAAAGAGTTTCATTCCATCTTCTCCAACATATTAAACAAAGTAGCACCATTCAAAGAAGTTCGTTTGAAACAAAAAACGAAACCTTGGATAACAAATGAAATCTTAGAAAACATTAAATTGCGAGATAAGATAAGAAAATCTTTTAAAAAGTTTGGCAAAGAAGAAGATTTAAACATGTACAAAAAACTCCGAAATCGTGTTCAAACATTATGTAAAATAGCTAGATCCGAATTTTTCAACAAGAAAGTTGAAGAGAATAAAAATAATTCAAAAGAGCTATGGAGACAATTCAAACTAATGGACTATCAACAAAATGCCAAATCAAACTCTAATATAGTTCTGAAAGTAAACGGTGAAATGTGCCATGATAATAATCAAACAGCAAATCATTTTAATCAGTTTTTCTCAAATGTAGCTGCCTCTTCAGTTGAAAAGTTGCCCCCGGGAAAGGGAAAGTTCGTTGCATCATCAGACACGGTGAAATCATTTTACAGAAAGAGAAGCTGTAACAAATTTCATTTAAAACATGTTGATGAAAATTTGTATTAAAAGAATTATTTAAATTAAACACATCCAAGAGTACAGGACTGGATGGATTACCAGCTAGGTTTCTTAAATATGCTGCCTCAATCATTAAAATCCATCTCACCTTTCTGATCAACATGTCTATTTCGGAGGGTGTTGTTCCCGATGAATTAAAAAATAGCTAAGGTTAAACCACTTTATAAGAAGAAAGATAGACTAAATGCTGAAAACTATCGTCCTGTTAATATTCTATGTATTGTATCTAAAATTCTAGAACGTGCTGTATATAGCCAGTTAGAGACATTCCTAGTCAGAAATAACTTACTGTATGAATTCCAGTCAGGATTCAGAAGCAAATACTCAACAGATACGTGTTTAATATGTCACCGGGGTGTGGTTGGGTATATATATATAGATACAAATCACTCTGATTTCAAATTTGTTCGATGATTTATTTCTGAAGGGAAAAAGAACCAGGCTTCACTGGCCCCGCACCATACGAAGTGATACGTATAGTATATGTGTATGATATATGATCTTGCTGGACCGCTCGCGCTGACGTCCAGCAGTAGAGTGCCAGGACAGAGAGAGATTAATATAAAGAAAACCAAAGGAAGTGACGTAAACAGGTGTGGAGAACGCAATTAGCATGCAGTACAAATGCAGGTCTTGTTAGAAGTGCTGAGTTGCGTTCACGTTGAAGTCCATGTCACTCTCTAGTTCGGCCACATACCACACATTCCACTGGACAATACATGAGACGTAAACAACATGTCACGTGTACATATACTTAGTAACGTCACGTGCACATTCACAAAACAGTAACAAGGACATTTACAATATGATACCTGAGTATGCATCTATGCTACATTGTTATTAAAATACCACATGTGGACACATGGGTTACAAATACATCTGATTGATCATATTAAGTCTGGTGGTCGGGTGGCAAACTTTCATTGCATTTCACCAGAAAGGGTTCGATTCCTGGAACGGAAGTGAAAAGGTTAGGGGCAAAAAACATGGGTTTTAAAATTGTGTGTAATAATCATGTAATTGAAGTCAAAAGATATGTGAAATATCTTGGCCCTCACGCGCTCAAATTCGGGCCAACAAGAGTGATTAATATAAGTTGACATAACTTGTTTCGCAATTGTTGTAAAATAAATAAAGTTTATATTATATTAAGTCTCAGAATGCTAAAGGTCTTTTTACAGGTATGGTTTCACTTGCAGAAAGCATTTGATACGGTAGACCATAAAATCTTATGTGACAAACTCTCTGTTCTTGGTGTAAAATCGCTAGACTGGTTTCAGTCTTATCTCACAAACAAATTGTGAATGTAAACGGAACAGTTTCAGAGTCTTGTAAAATAGGTTGCCATTACTATTTCTGATATATGTAAATGACATGCAAGTGTGTATTAATCCAAGCTGCAAGATAATATTGTACGCTGACGACTCTGCAATATTATTCTCCCATAGAGACCCAGCAGTTATTTCTCAAACTTTGTCTTTGATGTTAAAGTCCTGTCAAGATTGGATAACAAACTTTCATTGCATTTAGGTAAAACAGAAAGCATTCTATTTGGTCCAAAAAGGAAATTAGATCCAGTGGCAAAAAATTTGGATTTTAAAATTGTGTGTAATAATCATGTAATTGAAGTCAAAAGATATGTGAAATATCTTGGCATAGACATCAACGATTCATTATCGGGTGAAGAAATTGTAGATTCAATTGTCAAAAAGGTCAACCAACGTCTCAAATTTTTGTATAGAAATGAACAGTGTTTATCTTTTAGGTCAAGAAAAACTCTATGTTCTTTTTTATTTCATGTCACTTTGACTACGCATGTACTAGTTGGTACGAAGGTTTATCGAAAAAACTTAAAAAGAATTTACAAGTAGCACAAAACAAAGTAATTAGATTTATTTTGAATGTTCACAATAGGTACAGTCTGACACATAATGATTTTCTTCGGGTAAACATGCTTGATGTTGTTTCAAGAGTAAGTCAGCTCAGAATGAATCATATGTTTAATATTTTCCATGAAAAAGCTCCGAATTATATGTATGCATCTTTTGAAAAAAATCCATGTCTGCAAAATACTCTGCCAATGATTCATGGAGCTAAATATACATCCTTTTGTTTTGTCGGAGCTAAAGAATGGAATCTACTTCCAGAAAATACAAAAACAATACCCAAAAAAGTTAGATTCAAATCTCAAGTAAAACGTCACTTTCAAGACAAAATGAAAGAGAAACATAACAGTGATTATGTTTACTATTGAGACAGATAATGTTTTTTATATACATTTTGAAGGATATAACGGAAATAAGCGTATATTATTACGCTTTTTTGGGCTAACATTGGATAGATTTGTTTGACATATATCAGCTGTCTTTATTGTGATTTAATGTTCCGGTGTTGCATGTTTTATTTATGTCAATTTTTCACCTTATGTACTATGTAACATGTATTTTATTCATCATGCTTTGTATACATTTGTGCAAATCTTTCCTGAATAAATTTATTATTATATTATTTTTATATCAGTATAATTCCGGATTGATAATATGCTCTATTTCGGCTCCATTACTATGTCGTCAAAATAGCTTCCTGTTGCACTTGGAAACCCGCCACGCTTCATCATGTTGAAAAAGCAATCCAAACCTGTGATTCCTCATCCTTTCTTCCCTCGCAATGCAAGCATTCCACACTATGTACCAAACACTACATCTATTGAGGAACTGCTGGGGATATTTTTCGGTCTCCTGTTTGTGGCGTTAGTTGGTACATGGCTATTGACAAGCCGGAAAACACTGAGGTTCGGCGTAGGTGACCGGCTGATTTTGTGTTGGTTCGTGGGATGTGGGTTTATACACACCATCCTAGAAGGATACTTCTGTGTATTTAATGAAACGCTGGCCGGCAAGGAAACCTACCTCGCTCAAATGTGTGAGTATGAACAGGCGGGGAACAACCTAGACCGAAAGTTTCTGTCTGTAAAAAATGTGTATCAACATTTATTATGCTGTTACCGATATTTACATTTTTACTGGTTATACACATTTTAGAGACACATATTTTTGTATGGCCTTATAAACAATCCAACACTGTAATTTTTACACAGAAAATGACAAATTAAGTTGTCTCAAAAACTTCATCCGCTCCATTGCATTTAGTATTGCTAATAATATAAAAAGGAGTCAATTCATGTGTACCTATGACATTTGCACTAAATACTCCCTATGGTTATACACTAGTCAGTCGGGAAGTCGGTGAAACAAAACAGAAATGAATATTTCTTATGCAAATATATATAGTGTCACATTGACTATTAGGTCAGGTTCAAAAGGTGACATCTTTTTTTGGTTGCAAATATTAAGACCTTCGTGTTTCTGTTTCAAATGATACATGTAAAGTATTGCCTCTTATGGTCATTTGAAACATCTTTTGTTTAAACAAGTTATGCTTTTTGAAAATAGTTGATAATTTCTCACCTTTCGAAAATGCTGTTTATCGGAAGCTTCAAGAATCTTAAAAAATTGACATACAATGTTTGTGTGTGATGTTTTAACTGCTTATACCTTTGTATGTGACATTTTAATGTTTTTTTAGGGAAGGAGTATGGAAAGGCTGATAGTCGTTACCTGACGTAAGTGATGTTTTTCTGTCTATCCAAAAATGAGATAAATGAAGTTCATACTGTTCATGTTATTTATGGTGCATTTGTTCTAGACATCATTGTCAGTTGTGTATCAAGCATTAAATTTTCAAATTTTGACACCTTCACAAGCAATTAGTTTTAATGTAACAAGTACTTGACCAGAACGATTCTTTAGAGAAACAAAATAGTAATTATAAAGATTGAAATCCGTATACATGTATCTTCCCCCACCCCCCACCCAAGGAGACTTGGCTGTTGAGCTATTTGAGTAAAAAAGGGGTTAGTATTTGCATTACTTAAAAATTTTGTGTTATTTGAGCGGCCTCTATTTGTAAGTAAGAAGTTAGAAATGGTGACGCCATGTCCCTGGAATACCCTCTCAGGAATAACAAATAACTTTCCATTTTCTTGTCTCATGTATTGGACATGATAGATTTATACATATTTCTGTGTATATTGCAGGTCAGATTCCTTCACTGTTTGTATGGAGAGTATCACAGCATTCCTGGTTGGACCACTTTGTTTTGGTGTTGTGTTAGCCTACGTGACAAGAAATCCCTCTCGATATGTTCTACAACTGGTTGTCTCCATTTGTCATCTCTACGGTGACAGTTTGTATATGTCAATCGAAGCTAAGGAAGGTTTTATTCATGGTGAATACAACCACCCTCTACATTTTTGGTTTTATTTTGTCTTCTTGAACCTTTGGTGGATATTTGTGCCATTGGTTTTGATTACTCAAGCCTGTCTTAGGTTAGTAGAGGCCCAAAGGTTGTCTGATATCAGACCTAATGTTACTAATTCAAAGTCAAAAAAGAGAAAATGATATCTGGAAAACTGGTACTGACATTTAAACATCCATTTTTATGTTAGCTTTGTTTTCATCCTTCAGAATGCTTTAATGATACATTAATTCTAAATGTTGTATCTTCTTTTTTCAAAATTGCAAAAGTTTTGGTATTCGAAATATGCTGTTATATTTTCTTTATTCTTAATGTTGGATTTTCTTTACTTTAAAGTTGCAATTTTTTTTATTCTAAATGTAATATTTTCTTCATTTAAATTTTATGTTTATTTTTTAATGTTATATTTTCAAATATTAATTTAAATTATTATTTCAAATTAAAATTTTTTTATTCTTAATGTTATATTTTCTGTAGTCAGATTCTTTGTAATCATCCATTTCACATGTATATCAATTTATTTTTGATAGGGCCTTGGAATATCTTAATTCATGTTGGAAAGTTTTGATAAATTTCATTACATATTGATTAAAACTTTACATGTTTTTAGTACTTTCAAAATCTTTTACCATCTCATGAATTGTTGAGCTTGGTTAATGAGGGAGGAAGGGTTGTGTTTATACATGACTGACGCACCTTAAACATAACAATATAATTTATTGGCTGGATTTGATGTAATGTGAAGTATAGGTATGATAGTTGTTACTGTTTCTAAATTTGGTGGTTTTTGCCTGATCACTCTTCTAAGGATCATTAATTGTGAATTATTAGTTTCTAAAATAAGAAATGTAAAAAAAAAAAAATGATTGAATTGATGAAATTTGACACAACAATGCTGTATTTTCAGAGACTGTAGTGTTTGGTTTTGGTGATGTGTTTGTCCATCCTTCAAGTTTTAATTAAAAAATTCTGGAATCAAATAGTATTCATTAATGGATAGATGCGGCATTAGGTGTGCATAGCACATATCATAGATGTAAAAACTTTTAGTAACATTTTGTTGGCTACATTTTAATTGAACAATGAAGATAAACTAGGTTTAAAGGGACATTAAATCATTGGAAACTCTTTGAAGCTATAAAAATAAAACTGAATGGAAAACATACGTTAAAAGATATTAATTTAACATTATGGCAGTCAAAGTCTGAAGGTGACCAAAGTTCTTGAATTACAAAATATTCAGAATTCTTAATTTGGCCCCAAATTTAAAGACATTGCTATTTTAACCAAAAATTCCCGATGAGTGTATGATTTTATTGTTGTTTTATTCAAAGTATTGTACATTTCCATCCTTGGCCATTTTTGTACATTGTAGATATTGTAAAAAGTCTTTTAGTTAGGATATATTATCTGGAGCTCGGTAGATATTGTAAAAAAACTGAGAGGTTGGACATATTATCTGGAGCCCTGTATTTAGAATAAAAAAAACTGTGAGGTTGGATATATTATCTGGAGCTCTTTAGATATCGTAAAAAAACTGCAAGGTAGGATATATATTATCTGGAGCTCGGTAGATATCGTAAAAAAACGTAAAAGACTGTTAGGTAGGTTATATATGTTATCTGGAGTTCTGTAGATATACTTACTAATAAATGGTGAGGAAGGATATATTATCTGGAGCTCGGTAGATATCGTAAAAAAACTGTGAGGTTAGATATATTATCTGGAGCTTTGTAGATATTGTAAAAAACTGTTAGATAGGATATATATGTTATCTGGAGCTCTGTAGATATCGTAAAAAAACTGCAAGGTAGGATATATGTTATCTGGAATTCTGTAGGTATCGTAAAAAAACTGCAAAGTTAGATATATTATCTGGAGCTCTGTAGATATCATAAAAAAAACTGTTAGGTAGGATATATGTTATCCGGAATTCTGTAGATATCGTAAAAAAACTGCAAAGTTAGATATATTATCTGGAGCTCTGTAGATATCTTAAAAAAACTGTTAGGTAGGATATATATGTTATTCAGAGCTCTGTAGATATTGTAAAAACTGTTAGGTAGGATATATATGTTATTCAGAGCTCTGTAGATATTGTAAAAACTGTTAGGTAGGATATATATGTTATTCAGAGCTCTGTAGATATTGTAAAAACTGTTAGGTAGGATATATATGTTATCTGGAGTTCTGTAGATTTACATTTAAACAATGAGGAAGGATATATATTATCTGGAGCTCTGTTACAAGAAACATTAATTGATTAATTACTTGTTGATGTTACCTACCTGTATGTTTAAATGGATGGGCAACATAATTAATGCACATATAAAACTACAACAATAAACCTAGCTGTCTGATTGTGTTTTTTTATCATTTAATTGACAGGTTTTACATTCACTATTATGGCATTTCAGCCATTTTATCAATGAGTGGTTGTGTTTTGGATGTATCTAAGGGGAGATAATAAACAGTCTATGGTTTTACATAATACAGGTACTGCTTTTTTTTTTACCTGTTTGTCCTATCTTTCATTGTCATGTTTAAGTCACTCTTTTTAATATACAATATTGAATCAGCATCTAGGAAACATCAGAGAAATGTTCAATGCAATCTAAGATCTTGTCAATTAGTTTTTTAAGTGTCTAAGATGGCCATTAAAGCAGCTGTTCACAGATCTCACCAGCTCAATACTAGAAACATTTTATTAACTCAACCATATATGCTGGATCTGATTTCTACCCAGCAATCAATCCAGAATCTGTCTTCCCCTAGTGTGCACCCAAGTCATGGTCAGTCAGCAACTTGCCCATTATCTAAATTCTATGATAGATCGCGGTCATGATGTTCTTTGCTGAAACCATGAAATGCTAGTCCACATGTTCTTGTTGCATTTTGTCATAGATTGGCGAGACAATTGAAATGTAGGAATAGCCAGTGTCTTGATGAAAACAAATTTTATATAATTAATAACTGGTATGTTTGAAAATGAAAAACAACAGGCAAGATACATGTTTCAAATTGTATAGATTTTATTTGAGCATGTTTTGTGATTTAAACTATTTACAATAAAATTGGAATACTTCAAACAATCAAAAATATGTATCACACAGTAGTCTAATGTAGTCTTCTGTACATCAACACTTGGAACACTCACTTCTTGGTTTTAGAAATACAGGCGATTTAACTGTTCAGATCACCTGTCTGTGAAATACAGGCGATTTAACAGTCCAGATCAACTGTCTGTGAAATACAGGCAATTCAACTGTCCAGATCAACTATCTGTGAAATACAGGCGATTTAACAGTCCAGATCAACTGTCTGTGAAATACAGGCAATTCAACTGTCCAGATCAACTATCTGTGAAATACAGGCGATTTAACTGTTCAGATCACCTGTCTGTGAAATACAGGCAATTCAACTGTCCAGATCAACTGTCTGTGAAATTCAGGCAATTCAACAGTCCAGATCAACTATCTGTGAAATACAGGCGATTTAACAGTCCAGATCAACTGTCTGTGAAATACAGGCAATTCAACAGCCCAGATCAACTGTCTGTGAAAAACAGGTGATTTAACTGTCCAGATCAACTGTCTGTGAAATACAGGCAATTCAACAGCCCAGATCAACTGTCTGAAAAACAGGTGATTTAACTGTCCAGATCAACTGTCTGTGAAACACAGGCAATTCAACAGTCCAGATCAACTGTCTGTTAAATACAGGCAATTCAACAGTCCAGATCAACTGTCTGTGAAATACATGTACAGGTGATTCAACTGTCCAGATCAACTGTCTGTGAAACACAGGCAATTCAAGAGTCCAGATCAACTATCTGTGAAATACAGGCAATTCAACAGTCCAGATCAACTGTCTGTTATAAACTCTCTAGTCTCTGGTCTGTGTACATTATAATGGATATCAATTCAATGTCGTATCGTTTATCATTCTCACATTTCTCAAATTTCAAGGAATGTTGATTAGTGAGTGTCAGAGAAAACACAGGAATGTTTGCAATTATTTACATTGTTGTATTTATTTCACCTATCTAGTGTACTCTCATCCCCATCATTTTCTGGGAAAGAGGACTTTTTGTAGAAGAATTTTTTGTGGGCACATTCAATTAAAGCTTTTATACAAACTTGACTTCGTTGATTTGCCACTTCAATATTCACCCCTTAACTCTTTGAATCCCCATTCCCCAAAAGAAAAGTTCCACAGGGCCTGTATAACTCACCTGGCTTTGAGCAGCAGAAATTGCTTCAGTCAAAGTAGAGGAAAAGGAATTCTAAAGGTTTTTCTCTGTTTCCCAATTAGGCCCAACCCTTCTGCCCCCTGGGGTCAGTCAAACCATTTAACTAAATTATCCTTCACAAAGCACGCATCAGATCATATTGGGACACAATTCTGCAACTTCTACAGAGGAAGGAGGATTTTAAAGAACTGACATTGTTACCCCTATTAGGCCCCAATACCTCCAATTCCTTGGGGGATCTACATCCAATGTGTATACCAAATTGATTTCCCTTTACTCAGTTATGCTTCTGACCAACATTTGGTACAAAATCTACACATAACGAAAGAAGAAGGAGTTAACGAATTTGCTCTTTTCTTACAGAAGAGGGATTTAAAGAACTGATACCTACCATATCCAAAACTGAGTTTCTTTCACCAAAGGATACTTCAGGCCAAATCAAGACAGAATCCTAAAGAAGAAGGAGGATTTTAAAGAATTTAAATGAGACCAGTCATTTAAACATAATTAATTCTCTTTCACCCTAGGATGCTTAAGATCAAATTGGAACAGAATCCTGACTTTCCCACAAAAGAAGAGGGATTTTAAAGAATTCAACAGATGATGTTTCAGGTCAAACTGGGACAAAATCTATGTCTTCTTCTGCGCTCCACCCCAAAGACCTGCCATTTATATTATTCCCATTCCAATAAGGTATATGCTTCTGACCAAGTTTAGTCAAAATCTGCCCAGTTATTCATAACTAGCAACATCTTTTATGAAAAGCTGAAAGATGGATGACGGACGCTGCAATATGCCTACAGCTCACTTGGCCCTTGCCTTTGAGCCGAGAAAAAGAAAGGAGGGAGTGGGGGTACCTCTGCCATGTGCACTTAATTATTTTAATGTTGAAATGATGATATTAAACATCACTGAGCTTGATTAAGTCAGCACTATTGCTCACACAGAATATGTCTACATCTGTTGAATTTTCAACTTCATTTTGTCCATGAGAAAAATCAAAATGACCTCATGACAAATCTGATATTAA